TAAAGGACGATCATTTTGACTGTTGACCGTGACACCCTCATCAGAAAAATGTCACAAATGAGAAAAGTGGAGCCGAGTGCAGGATTTTACAACAAAAACTGACTTATTCCTATTTCTACAAGTTAATTTTAAACAAGTTCATGTTAAAACATTGTGTTGAATTTTTTTTTTTTTTTTTTTTTTAAGTTTCAGGTTGTTCATAATATTATAATATTTTGTAAAAGAAAGAGTTCATCAATTAAAAAATATTTCTGTAGTAGATTTGTGTTTCTCTGCACTATTTGAACTTATTGTTATTTTTGGGGTTTATATGACATGAGTTTTCTGATCCGGCCCCTTTGGGACCTAAGTCGGTTGGATACGGCCCCCGGACCAAAATGAGTTTGACACCCCTGGTCTAAATAATGAGTTTTATTGCACGAGAATAACACACAGACACTAGAGCTCCACGGGGTGCTGTTTGTCTCACTGGGATATGCCTTTGCACCTTTAGGCCCTAGTGGTTAGTTTAGGTTGCCCCAGTGACACAGAAGGACCTTGGTCTGCCCCATATCAAACTAAGCCCTCAGAGATTCCAGCCCTGAGAGGAACGTGGTGAGAGAGTTTCCTCTGAATCATGTGAAGATTACCCTCTGCTCTATGTCGCACTGGGAGACGGCCAAGGGTGAGGTCATCAACACGCGCCCAGAGAATGGGCATAATATTACCAATAGGGTGTAGTGGTGTGTGGAGTTGAGTGTTTTCAGCTTGTAAGAAGAACTATATGCAGGGTTTGTGTGAAACAAAGCTCAATTACTGATATCCAATCCACTTTATTTCTATAGCGAATTTCACAAACTGTTTCCAAAATGCTGCACAAATACATAATAATAATAACAACAATGATAAAATGATAAAATAAACTACTAAAATAATACACACATCAAGAATCTCAGACTTCCGGTCATTGCGCAATGCATACTGGGAAGGATTTTCTGAAAAAGTGAGCATCAAACCGCCATGTTTGATTTTACAGTGGGATACATCTATTGACAAAGCCGATCTTTTCAAGTCTTTTGAACCATATCACTTTTGTTTCTGGTTCTGATAGTATCATATTTTAGTTTTGGGATTCGGACATTGTTAATTGTGTGGATGTTGGGTCCTAACAGCGGAAAACGGCTCGAGAAATTGGTTTGCAAACTCCGTAAATGCAAAAGGGAATCAGATGTGGGTGACTCAAACCTCTGTTCAAACTGTTGCCCTTCCCAACGGAATTGAAAAATAGTGAAAGGCAAAAGCGATGGGTAGTATTGATCCACGGGAAAGACGAAAGAGGAAACCTTTGACTGCCTAAATCATCCTGAGTTTGCAGCGAACCTTTTGTATGTAGAGCGCCATCAAAGCGGGATCCCGTTTGTTAAGCGAGAGGTGCAGAAGACAAACAGGCCGAGCGAGCACTTTCTTGTTCTTGTAGTTTCACAGCAACATTAAGTCTTGGTCTCTTTGCAGTGGAAAGTGTTTCTTGGCGAACAGTTGGTGCCTCTCGCTTTGGCGTTGACTTTATAAATTCGGAACCAAGACTGAGTGAGGGATCGAGGTTTTGCTTTGATGGCGCTCCAGGTACAAAATGTTCGCTGCAAACTCGGGATGATTTAGGCAGTTTACCTTTTTTGTCCTTCCCGTGGTTCAATACTGCCCATCGCCTTCACCTTTCACTATTTTTCAATTCCGTTGGGAAGGGAAATAGTTTAAACAGAGGTTTGAGTCACGCACATCTGATTCCCTTTTGCATCTATGGAGTTCGCAAACCAATTTCTTGAGCCGTTTTCCACTGTTAGGATCCAACAACCACACAATTGACGATGTCCGAATCCCAAAGCTAAAATATGACAATATCAGAACCAGAAACAAAAGCGATACGGTTCAAAAAACTTGAAAAGATCGACTTTGACAATAGACACATCCCACTGTAAAAACAAACATGGTGGTTTGATGCTAACTTTTTCGGAAAATCCTTCCCAGTATGCATTGCGCAATGACCGGAAGTCCGAGATTCTTGATGCGTGTATACTAGTCTTAAAATAATAAAACCAGTAAAATAAAATGAGAACAAAATCATAGAATAGAAATAAATAAACCAATAAATAAATTAAATTAATAAAACCAATAAAAACACATAAAAATAAATAAAAGACACAGAGGAGCACAGAATAAAAGTGGGTTTTAAGATGAGACTTAAAACACTCCACTGTGGGGGCTGTTCGGACGTGGAAGGGCAGAATGTTCTAGAGTTTAGGTCCGACCACAGAGAAGGTCCAGTCCTCCTGGTTTTAAGTCTCGTCTTAGGCCCCACGAGCTGGAGCTGGACCTCAGACTTCAGAGCGGGTGCGGGGGTATAAATTTGGATGAGGTTCTAGACGTACTGTGGGGCCAGAACATTCAAAGCTTTAAAAACAAACAATAAAATCTTAAAATCATCTCTAAAATTAACAGGAAGCCAGTGCAAAGACGTGTGATGAAATAAAAATGTGCATAACTTATTCAAAAAGTTTAAAAGATAAAAAAGGTTTAACTTAAATGATAAAAACTTGATTTTAAAACATTGTTGATCTGTTTGTCAAATTTGAAATCTCTGTCTAAGGTGACGCCGAGGTTGGTGACTGTGGTGATATGTTTATGATGTGAAAACAATATAACATAGAAGACAAAATAGAATAATCCAGGCCTTTAAAAAGCGAGCGTGGTGCGTCATAGGCCCTGCACCGGTTCTATGTGATGTGGTGAGTGTCCTTTTAAAATAGCAGCGTTGTGTTCGCGCTCGACCTTTACAGTCTAATCTTGTGCATGTGACAGTGAGACAGAGGAGCAGGTCCAGTTACAGCCTCGTGCCACAGATGACCAGACACATGCACATTGTGACCGATGTGTAGAAGAAGAACTATATCGTCTCCAGTTTTTCTGCTCTGACAAACCAAAAATGGCTCCAAATGTACTATGAACACTCACAGGGGCGGGATTAAAGTTTTTCTTCTTCCTACTTGATTTTGTGCAAAAGTAAAGATAAGCATGCATATTACTCGCGTGCTTTTGTTGGTCTTCTTGTTTCTGTTCATACGACCGCACTGACGCTAGAATATTCCATTGTAAAAGAAAACAAAATGTCTACTTGCCTCCACACACTCACATTTCTCACAAAAACGAGAGACATTTTAATGGGGACTTCCAAATAGCTGTCATTCCAGTCCTTTGTCAGCCTGTGGTCACTTTTGGATGTTTCCAAACATGACGTAGGCTCAGTGGGCGCTGTGCCTGACTGATGGTGCTGCAGCCCCTCTTTATGTAACGCTTCGGTTAAAGCCTGGGTTAAACAGATAATTGGTACGAGGTACGTGCTGTCAGGACCGTCCCTGCCTCAGTTGGGTCACAGCACTGGCAGGTTGACAGGTGGAGCGGGCACCACGGGACAATGGGACACGATATGAGGCTATTATGGCTGAGCGGTTTTGGAGAAATGTCACATTTTCTAAAGTTCTGTGATTAGATTTGAGACGTTACATTTTAAACACAAATTACAAAACTAATAAGAATCCCACTTCACAACATGTTTATAATCTATAGTCAGTAGAAGAGAAGACATGAAGAAGGGTTTGACCCCAAAATGTCACTTTGCTATTAAAACAAAATAAAAACTTTAGGAGCTCCAAAAAACTGCTGTGGGGATCAGCTGTTTCCTTTCTAATGAGGTTTTTGGATGTGTGGTTTTCAGATGTGCATGTCTCTGTCAACACTTTAATCAGTAATTTTTCTACTATTTGGTGTCAACTAATGCTTTTATTTAAAATCCATTAAGTCTAATTAAAAAAGGTAATATATTATGTGAACAATATATTTAATGATTCATTTATTAACTTTATTGAAAACCTTGTCCTTTTTTGGGGCAAACTTATTGATGCTAAACGTTCTAAACCAAGGGTCTCCAACCAACCACCTCCTGTGAGCTCCTTTACAAAACCAAAATGCCAAGCTGCTTCTTCAGTTCTGTTCAGACGCTGGTGGACTACACTGAAACTACGCTCAAACTCTTTGCTATAAATCATAAATTATGATCCATTTATGAGTGCACAGAGTTAGGCTTCAAAATTACTACTACAAATGTAGTAAGCATTGAATTATTTCCTTTATTCAGTGTGATACATATTAATGTGTCTACAGTGTATAATTAAACATGGCCCCAAAGCTTTACATGAGGCGTATTGTGCTGACCTGCCACATTAACCCGTGCATCACTGTAGGTCACCTGTACCTATAATCTGTACCTATGTACAGTGTGGTCTGTATTGTGAGCTGAGCTGGAGCAGGGTGCTCCTCTAGTTGTTATATGAGCTTGGCACTGCACAGTACATGGACTGGGCCTTTTCATACTGGGCCCCAGCAGATTTTTACGAGGGCAGAAATGGGTTTTAAAGATATGAACATATTGCCCTTTCACTAGTTTAATGGAAATCATCAGGTTCAATGACACTGAACTGTTTTTTAAATCTGACTTTTTGCTAGTTCTCATTGTTATAACAGCACTTTCAGCTTTTGGAGAAGTGAAAGTAGGTTTGTGTCTTTGAGCGTATTTGCATAAGTCATAGATGAAGAACCAACTGTGTAAAACTTAAGACACTGAAAGGTCAATGCTGCACATGAAACAGAACTGAGTTAAAGATAAGATAGTCCTGACCAAACAGCAACAAGACCGTGGAGCTGGGTCTCTGGGTGAGGTTCTGTGGTGCCAGTCTGTTCATGACAGGTTGCCACAGCAGCAGCGCAACGCAAGTTTTACATAACAGCTCATATCTTCTGAATGGCAAAAGCTCTGGCTTGTTTAGCTACTCCATCCAGGAGCTGTTTAACAGACAGAGGGAAATACAATAATGCAATGGCAATAAAACAAATATATTTTTATTGGTAACTGGTTTCAAAAATTGCACTTGTTTTCTCAAAAATAAAACCAAACATCCCTGAATGTTTGATTATATTTTCATTGAAGATACTGTTGAGTTTATTAAAGTTAAGGGACAGGAGCACTTCTGCTTTCAACTCCAAATGTCTAACTAAAAACGAGAAGAGACACTATACCCTTTGTTCGTTGGAGTGGACACTGACACTTCGTCCTGGCTGTGGAGACGCAAAGGTGAGTAGTGGCTTCAAGAGTACTTTCATTAACCATAGATGAAGAACCAACTGTGTATAACTAAAGTTACTGAAAGGTCAGTGTTAAGCATCCGTTGAAGGATGGGTCGAATATCTTAAAGCTGTGATGAAGCCAGTACAGTTTTTAATCCTGACCTCATGTTTTATCTGGAAAAAAGCAAAAGTAATATTACAGTTCAATTAAGGCTTTAGTTCTGTCCATTTGGAGCTGGTTTTTGGACGACTGCTTGTCAATAACAAACAACTTCAAGAAGAGCAGATGAGTAATATGGTCATATTTACAAAAAGAAATGTGTAGCTTTATTGCCCCATCATCTTGATAGTTTTTACCAATAACCAATGTTAGCTGTGTGTTTATTTGAAAGCTACAAATGGTAAAAATATTCACAATACTGTAAAATCTATCTTAAGTAATTATTTTAAAGTTCCTCTATTATGCACATTGACTCTTTAGAGATTTAAGTGTTATAATGTTGTTATAATGTTGTTACCTCATCAGAAATAGACTTGGAAATGTGAGTTATTTCATTCACATGTTTGAATAATCCTGGATTATTGGTCTGTTTACATCTCCAAAACTCAAAATGCTCTGCTCCACCTTGTGATGTCACGAAGTGATAGTTATCAAGATAACAGCTTCTTTTACCTTTAGTTCAGTAGAGATTGGCAATTGGAGGGCTCACATTATCCAAATGATTCTCCTGAAGGTGTATGGAGTTTTAACACAGTGGGGCACTTCTGTATGACCACGACACGTCAAAGGTTCCACACTGATGTTTGTGTTTCTAACAGGAGCTCAGGATGAGGAGTCAGAGCACTTTTCTTTTCTCACTTTTCTCTCTGCTGCTTCAGCCTCACGTTTCACTCTTTTACTCTTTACAAAACTGCACCATAGACTTTGATGACCACAGTCAAATTGTTTGTGATCATAATAAACTAACCAGTGTTCCTCCTGGTCTCCCCAAAACAGCCACTTCTTTGAGTGTGTTTGACAATGACATCCAGAGAATCCGACAGACTGATTTTAAAGGTTTCACCAGACTTCAGTTTTTACACCTGGGGATGAATGACCTCTCACACATTGAAGAAGGAGCCTTTTCAGATTTATCTGCTGTAACTGAGATTATGTTGTCTTTCAATGAACTCACAGCCCTGACTGACAACACTTTTACAGGGCTGTCAAACCTGACATCTCTGTACCTAAACAATAACAAAATATATTCTGTTTCACAGTATGCCTTTAGGCCTCTGAAAGAACTGCAGATTCTTGACATGGGATCAAATAACTTAGTCCAAATTAGCAATATCATTAACATTGTTACACATTGTCCAGCAATAAAAACTCTGAGCTTGCATTTTAACCAGCTAACCTCATTTGAATCCAACCTTTTCCCAACACATTTTTTAAACCTTACTCAGCTGGATCTCCAATCAAACCCTCTGAAGAGGTTTAGAGTTCACGGGAATGTGTTTCCAAGTTTAAATGAGCTGCGACTGCCAGCAATAATGCCAGATTGTGACTGGGACGTTTCTGACAGATCCCTGACACGTGTGAGGAGTTTGATCGTGGAGTTGGAGTTTGGAATCCAAGTAAACCTTCAGTTGTATAAATCCATATTTCAAAGTGTCAATAAAGCCGAGTCTGTGTATCTGTCATATTCTGCTCTAGAGTCTCCTGAAGGCCTGTTACCATTAACTTGTGAAATTCCAACCTTGCAAAAGTTAGATTCATTTCTCAATATTATTCGGATTCTCAATGAAACTCTCCTACAGTCCTGCACTAATTTGACTGAACTTCATCTAAAAGGAAATTCTATGAGTGATTTATCAGATTGTTCTCTATGTATGATGAAACAACTCACTCGGCTGTCAATAGAGTCAAATGAATTATCCAAAATACCAACCACGATCAGAAACATGTCCACTCTCACATATCTGTCCTTTGAACAAAACCTTATCACAGATCTTCACTGTTCAGACTTTTCACATTTGACGTCATTATCTGAACTCAACTTAAATTCCAATCGAATTTCCAGTCTCAACAGCTGTATGTTTAAGGGTCTCGAGAATTTAAAAATACTACAAGTGAAAAATAATTTCATTTCTTTACAATTGGATAGTTTTGGTTTTACTTTGGCTCATCTGACACATTTAAACGCAGCTGAAAATAGCCTTAGATGGTTTCAGAAAGGAACATTTAAAAGTATGCAATCTCTTGTTGAACTGAATTTGAAATCAAATAGATATTCCATTGTTGACAATGGTGCATTTGAGGGACTTACAAATTTAAAAACTCTGACTTACTCACCGTCTTACTTTTATATTGGGGATTTTACAAGTTTTAAACAGCTAGAAAAACTTATTATGTTCGTTTTCTACAGCACCTTAAATACAACAACAAATAATGACTTTTTTTTCAATATGTCTTCCCTGCATGAGTTAAATGTCATTGTAGATGTAAGTACTTGTTTTACATGGACACGAAACCTTCTTAACAGCATAAGAAATTTAAGAGTTCTGTCATTTGAAAATTATTGCTGCATGGTCTTTGATGATGACATGTTTATTGTCAGTCCCAAACTATTACGTCTTCAATTTATCAACTGTGACCAATTCACTCACACATCTAAGCTGTTTCACCCTCTGAAAGACCTAAACGTTCTGGACTTGACAAACGACAACATACAATCTTTAGACTTTTTGCGTGACGCTAACCTCACCAAAGTGGAAAAGTTGATCTTAAAAGACAATAAGCTCTTAGTAATAGATGAAACAGTTTTTGAAACTCTAACTTCACTAAAACACCTCGACTTATCTGGAAATCCATTTGCATGTAACTGCTCAAACGCTGGGTTTATAGACTGGGTGATCAGAAACAAACAAGTCCAAGTGGTCAATGCTTTTCAGTACAGATGCTCCTCTCCTCCGTCTGAAGAAGGAAACTTTTTGCTGGACTTCAATGTGCAGTCATGTTGGGAGTTCACTGGCTTCCTCTGCTTCATCTCCAGCTCTGCTTTGGTCCTTGTCACTCTTCTGTCCTCCTTCACCTATCACTTTCTGCGATGGCAGCTGGTCTATGGCTACTACCTCCTCCTGGCATTTCTCTACGACAGTAAAAAGAGAAGACAGGGCTGCCCTTACATCTACGACGCGTTTGTGTCCTACAACGTTCACGATGAGGACTGGGTTTACAGAGAGCTACTGCCTGAACTGGAAAGAGTCCAGGGATGGAGGCTGTGTCTGCACCACCGCGACTTCCAACCAGGTACAGCGTCTCCTCAGTCTCCCCTGATGGATTCTGTCCATGTGTTCCTCTGGAGATGTGCTAACCTCACATATTCTGCTGTGTTCAGGGAAACCCATCATTGAGAACATCACAGACGCCATCTACAGCAGCAGGAAGACTCTGTGTGTGATCAGCCGTCGATACCTGCAGAGCGAGTGGTGCTCACAGGAGATACAGATGGCCAGGTACAGACTCACTGCAGCTTGATCTGTCCTGGGCTAGACCATGGAAAAGACCAGGGACGGACCTGAACTAGATCAGAAACGGCCCTGGTTGAGTCCTGGAATAGTCCAAGTCGAATGTTGGTTTGGATCTGCTCTAATTCTGGTCCAGTTCTCGTTGAGTCCTGGATTAGTCCCGGTTTAGTCCTTGTTAAGTACTGGTTTAATCCTGGTTTAGTCCAGGTCTAGTCCAGTTCGGTTTAGTCCTGGTTCAGTCCTTGGATTCTCACGTGTCTCTTTTGTGTGCAGTTACCGTCTGTTTGATGAGCAGAAGGACGTGCTGATCCTGCTGTTTCTGGAGGAGATCTCGTCCAATCAGCTGAGTCCGTTCTACCGCATGAGGAAGCTGGTGAAGAGCCGCACATATCTGAGCTGGACCCAGGCCCGGAACCACAGGGGCCTGTTCTGGGAGAAGGTTCAGAGAGCGTTAGAGTGTGACAACGAACCTGCCGACAGCCACAACCCACTGACCGCTAATGTTTATTAGGTGGTAACAGGCTACAGTCATAGAAGTTTAATAAGATCTGGAACGAACCGACAATGACATTGTCGTGGTTTCTAAGGACAAAGCTCATGACGCCAATTTTTTTTCTTCTGTATTAATGAACTGCACAATCAGTTCTGTCCAATCAGAACGATGGCAGGTAGAGTTGAGCTAACACGTTCTTATGCTGCATTCGTTTATTCATTTGTCTCCCACTCAGATCTCGGATACGACGTCACTTCCGCGCTTCAACCGTTCCATTATGTTTCGTGAAAAAAAAAGAAAAGCTGTACCAGATGCTCCAAAATAAGTCTGTGCTTCAACTACACAACCACGAGATAGAATTCAGTATAAAAAGAATAATTCAGTGTATTATTGAAGTGAAAGCGTTTGGTGTTGATAGTCAATCATTTTTGCACATTAGCAGGAAATGCTAAAAACATGGGCAACACCGACCTCCAATACAGGAAAGTACTGAAGAAATACAGATGCAGTAAAGTACTGAAGTAATACAGATACAGTAAAGTACTGCAGTAATACAGATACAGTAAAGTACTGCAGTAATATAGATGCAATAAAGTACTGCAGTAATATAGATACAGTAAAGTACTGCAGTAATATAGATGCAGTAAAGTACTGCAGTAATATAGATACAGTAAAGTACTGCAGTAATACCAGTGACTGAAATTGTCTTTTAAACCATCAAATCGTCCAAACACAATGAAAACAGTTCATACACGTGACACTGGGTGCAGTGTCTTGGATTCTATCACAGAATCTTTGCTCGTTCTCCTCTGAGCTCTTCCAAGTTCTGAGTTTCTCTGTCCGAGGAAAAGGGGCGTGTCAGTGCGTGTCTCTAGGCAACATCCTCGGACCTCCGAGTCGGATGATACACGAATGCACCATTAGTGTGGCTCGGCTAAATTTTACAAAACTATGATTTAGATGCTCTGAGGATTTAAATGTAAGATGTTCAACGAGAAAAAATCTGTCCTGTGTGAAACTGTCCCTGTCAGGCTTTGATCACACACATTTAACTGCACTCACTTGGCTATTTGTTTTTGTTTGGAGCTCATAATCCTAAAATAATCAAATAAATACAAACATAGATAAATAATAGCTGTATTCTTATAATGTTAGAAAGGTTAACAGTATAAATAATAATGTTTTTATTGTTCCATTATGCCACTATACTATATCCCCGGTGAAAAAGTGGACAAGATTTCAGAGAAATTGATTCCATGTCTTGTAGGAGTATCTGTGTGCTGAATGCAGTGGAGAGGTGACTGTTGTGGTTCACTTGATCTGAATCTAAACACACAGTATCTCAGATTAACTGTGAGGCCGTACTCTCAGTTCCTCTTTGGACCACACTGAGCTGAAGAACACAGAGAAGGCCTGTGTGCTCTCTCAGACTGTCAATCAAATGTCAATCAGATCTGTCTGTTTTTGTTGACTTTTATGTGAAGCACTTTGGTCAGCTGAAGTTGCTTTAAATGTGCTGTATAAATAAACTTGAGTTGAATTGAATTGAACATGCAGTTTAGAAGAGAACCGTTCATTGTGGTATGTTCTCAGATTAAAATAATATTGCCTTTTGAGATTCTAAATGACCTGAAATCAACTGTTTACAATTTTAGTTATTTTTGTAGTTATAATATAATATAATATAATATAATATGTCAGGAGCCTCGGCCTGAGAAGAACTTTCCCCAGGAAGAACCAAATGCGCGGAGGACGGAACACTCAAAACAAGATATAACCCACCAAACTGGATTCACGCTTCTGTCCAGATACTTTGCACCACCTTGGAACAAGCCGAGGTTCTTGAGCGTGGAGGACCGGAGGAGCTCATCTGGACCTGTAGTCCACAGTGCATTCTCGGTTTCCCCGCCTGGAACCAGTGCGCAGACGACGGAACGTACCCGCTCTGACCCAGTCCATGGCACACTGGTCTTGCTCGTCCCCGTCTGGAATTAACATATGAAGGACGGAGCCTCTGGACCATCTGAGCAAGGCGCTTGGAGGACCAGACCAAGGACCAGACCAAAGCCCTGTCCTGAGGGGCTGCGCGCTACGGTGAGTGCTCCTCTTTATCGCTGTTGGCTGCTGCTGTTACCTGAAGTCAGAGCTTCTGCTCTGGGCTGATGTGTTGTGACTTTGTACAAAGTTCTACATGTTGCTGTTTCATGAGTTCATGATGAGAAATTGAGATATCGCTGTTTTCCTGGCACGTCAATTTGATCAGTTTTGGTTAATTTGCCGGTGTGAAAGCAGACCACACTGGAGTCTGCTACATAATCACAATTTTATTGCCTGGTGCGGACCAAATAATTGAACTAGCAGTGTGAAAACGCCCTTAAACTCTACAAATTCCATACTACAACTGTACAATGACTTACCTTCATGTAACATATAATACACCCTACAACTGTACAACAACTCACCATTATGTAACAGATAATACTCCCTACAACTGTAAAACTCACCCTTATGTGACAGATAAAATATAATTTCAGTTCCTTTATTGTCTTTGTTATATAAAATAACAAAATTACGTTAGAGCATCACACAAACTGGATAGGATTTTAAAAGTGCATAATAGTGTAGAGCACCCCTCTATGACAGCCACCATGTAGATTAGAAGCTGGTGCGTTTGAAGACCTGTACAATCTCACAGAGCTTCATCTTTCAGCAGATTCATTCAGTGGAGATACATTTGCAGGTTTATCCAGACTGGAACGCCTCTTTATATCCCTCCACTTCCCCGTAACAGGTCAGTGTCTTATTTCACTTGCCGTCACTACACAATTTGGCGTTTATAGTCCCAAATTTTGGATCTGATCATTTCTGTGAGTGACTAGACCCAAGAACTCAGCATATTACAACAAAAATCTGAATTTAAGCATTATACATTTTACCTGCCCCCATCTGTATAAAATATTATTGTCCTAGAGAATGTTGTGATGCTGTCTGAAATCCAGCAATTGGCAAACATTGTCAAAAAAAAGTCTTTAAAGCACAACAAAAAATACAAAAAGGATTTGAACGACGCATTTTCTTGAGCCTGTGATTTATTGAGTTTATGATTCCAGTTAAGTCTTTAATGTTCAACAAAAAAGGTGAGAGTGACTAAATGAAAAACCTTTAACTAATGCTAGATTTGAGAGGGATTTATAGATAGATTATTTGTTTATCAGCAGAGCAGATGTGACCACTGTCTTTGCAGATAACATAAGGCTGCAATAATAGATTGCGCTATTGTCAGCACTAAAATTGTTTATCACCATGTGATAAAATAAGTTATGACGCTAAATGAACATGAGTGAGTGGGAAACGTCTTAATGACTCGTATGCATGTGAGTGCGTAAATGACAAGAAATGTCTCAAACTTTAGAAGCCGGATGTCCACTCATACCTGATCCATACACCTATCCCCGCCCCCTAAGAGAGCCTGAAATCTGCTGAAATCCTCCAAGACACTGACATGGTACAAGAAGGACAGCGGGTCTTTCTGCAGGAGACATGCTCAGTAGAGCCAAGTGATATAGTCTGATAATTCCTCTATTCAACAGTACAAAATCAGATCACCTGTTTTAATTTCTATAAATCAGGTCTTTAGGGTCAGATTGTGTTAAAATAAAGACTAAATCTTAAGTCTAATTTGAGTAACAAATTAGTTAGAATCACCCCCCCAGGGAATGTTGATGACATCCAATGCAAATATCAATATTTCAATCAGTCAAAATGATCTTTAGATTGAGTACTTCTCGTTTTATTTGCATGTCACATTTGAGCTACAGCTCTGTTTCCTCTTTCTCATCTTTACTCCAGCACATAAAAGAGGATGAGTGACACCCACCTCCCCTCAGTCGAAATGCTGTCGAGAAGCTGTGGTGAGTTTTAATTTAAGTTTATCGTAATAAATCTTTTCATAGAAAAGAAAAGATTATTGTCGAGGTTTGCACAAATGGGAACTGGATTAATTGAAACAAAAGTTGTATTATAGCCTTAATTAAACAGCTGGAAGGAAATGTCATTTTATCTGTTGTTTCTGTCATTGGTTCTACATGAACCAAATTTCTGAAAACAGGAGTCTGATGTTTGACTGCAGGATGTTTTTTTAAGGTGATCGGACGTCTCAACGAATTAAGCAGACATCAAACACAGAGCGCTGTTATTTTGTATTGGGGCATGAGATATTGAATAAATGATATTCTGACAAAATTGCAGAAATCCATATTATAGCCAATTTAACCAAATGCTTCATCTGGGGCGTCACACAGACTGAGGCAACATTGGGTGGCAGGGTGATCAATAAGTTTTTAATTTTATTTTATCTCCTAGGGGCAATTTTACTGTGTGATAGATAAACCTATGTCCTGTCAATCATCATTTCATCTTTGTACTGTTCCTCTTTACAACTTCCTGTATATAGCTGAGATATATTTGTGTCACTTAACATTTTTACTTGTACATTGTACATTTTATAATCATGCCTTATTTGACTTCAGTCTCTTGCTATTTTTACTTATTTTGAATTTCTTATTACAACTTACATTTTTTTCTCTTTGTTATTATAATATACTGATCAAAAAGTTAAAGGAACACTCTGAAAACACATCAGATCTCAATGTGAAAACAAAACAAAAACAAACAAAAAAAGAAATGTTGAATATCTATACAAATCTGGACAGGTCAATGTCTTAGGAACAAAAGGAAGCCTCCTCTTTAATGGAAATGAACAACAGGTGCACTAGAGGCAACAATGAGACAGGCCCTAAAACAGGACTGGTTTTGCATGTGGAGGTCATTTCAAGTTTCTCCCTCTTGGCGTTTTTTGGCTGCTTTTCCTCTAGTGCTGCTTTGGCTACAGTGATTATTACAACTGGGAATATGAGGCCGTTCACTAACCCTACAGAAGCTGCACAGACTGGCCAAAGTCTCCAGGATGGCACATCAGGACGTGCCGTCACAGGAGATTTAATGTGTCTCCCAAAACAATCTCATGGAGGAGATTTCAGGAGTCAGGCAGTTATTCCAGGAGAGCTGCACAGGGCTGTGGAAGATCCTGAACCCACCAGCAGGACCCATATCTGCTCCTTTGTGCAAAGAGGAACAGGCCTGTGCCCTGCAGAATAACCTCCAGACACTGGAGTGAATGTCTCTGCCCAAACAATCAGAAACAGACTTCAGACCAGAACTGGCAAGTCCGGCACTGGTGCCCTGTGCTTTTCACAGACGAGAGAAGGTTCACCCTGAGCACCTGTGATAAATGTGAAAGAGTCTGGAGAAGACAAGGAGATCGCTCTGCTGCCTGCAACATGGTTCAGCATGAGCGGTTTAGTGATGGGTCAGTGATGGTCTGGGGAGACATATCCATGGAGGGACACACAGACCTCTACCGGCTAGAAAACAGCAGTGTGACTGCCATTAGGTATCAGGATGAAATAGTAGGTCCCAGGTTTCTCCTGATGCGTGACAATGCTCGGCCTCAAGTCTGCAGGCAGTACCTGGAGGATGAAGTGACTGATCTCAATGGTCTGGGAGGACATCGCACAAGAAACCATCCGTCGTTTCATTAGAAACATCTCACGACTTTGTCAAAAATGCGTAAAAGCCCATGAGGGCAACATAAGAGACTGAGAAGCATTTTGATTTGCAGAAATTAAATTCTGGTAGAAGGGACTAGCCTGCCACATCATTATTTCATTTAGATTTTCAGGGTGTCTATAATATTAAGCTCTCTGTAGGCTGAAAATGTTATTTACAATAAAAGCGGTGGCATCCTTTTGTTCCTAAGACATTGCCCTGTCCATATTTGTATAGATATATAACATATTGTTTATACATTGAGATCAGATGTGTGTTCCTTTCATTTTTTTGAGAAGTACATATTGTGATGTGTGAGCTTCTGTGTTCTAAGTTTAAGAGCTACGAACTATTAATAATATATTTAAATACAGACTTCCTCTCACAGTTTAAGAATTGGGTACATCTGCTTTCAGGAACTGCAGGAGCTAGAGAGTACAACTAAAGCGATGTATTCTGAACTAAATGTTTTGTGATTAACAGGAGCCAGAGTCCAGATGAAACCTCAGAGCCGTTCTCTTTTCTCACTCCTGTTTCTGCTGCTTCTTCCTCATCCCTCACGTCTTTATTCATTTAAGAAATGCTCCACAGATTTGAAGGATCAAAGTCGATTTGTGTGCTCTTCAAAAGAACTTCCCAATATTCCCACTGACATACCCAAATCTGCCACAGGTATAAATTTACAAATGAATAAAATACAGAGCATCAGACGGACAGATTTAATTGGATTCTACAAACTTGAGATATTAAACCTGGACCTCAACAAGATCTCACACATTGAAGATGGAGCCTTTTCAGACTTATCAGCTTTAACACAGCTGACTTTAGCTCTCAACAATCTCAGAAACCTGAATGACAACATGTTCACGGGACTGTCCAGCCTGTCAGATCTTATAATAGAGGATAATCAAATAATTTCCATTTCAAAGTTTGCATTCAAGCCTTTACATAAACTGCACACTTTGTATTTGTCATTTAACTATCTGGTCAGTAGTGACATTGCTAACATACTGATGCACTGTCCATTACTAGAGATATTATATTTGGCTTATAACAACCTCACTTCATTTGAGTACTATAATTTGCCATTTCCATCATTAAAAAGCTTAAATCTTGTGGGAAACAATATAACTGTGTTTGAACCTGACAAGTCCCCATTTCTCTTCATGAACCTCACAGAACTGGATTTGGACGAGAACCCTCTGAGGAGGCTGAGCGTTCACTCAGATGTGTTTCCTCATTTAAACTCACTGGGTTTGGCTTCAATGATGGAACCTGTCATTGAATGGGACGTTTCTAACAAAGACTTTTTCAGAGGTTTGTCCAAGTTGGACTTGTTTGACACTAGTTTTGANGTTAAAGGAACACTCTGAAAACACATCAGATCTCAATGTGAAAACAAAACAAAAACAAACAAAAAAAGAAATGTTGAATATCTATACAAATCTGGACAGGTCAATGTCTTCGGAACAAAAGGAACCCTCCTCTTTAATGGAAATGAACAACAGGTGCACTAGAGGCAACAATGAGACAGGCCCTAAAACAGGACTGGTTTTGCATGTGGAGGTCATTTCAAGTTTCTCCCTCTTGGTGTTTTTTGGCTGCTTTTCCTCTAGTGCTGCTTTGGCTACAGTGATTATTACAACTGGGAATATGAGGCCGTTCACTAACCCTACAGAAGCTGCACAGATTGGCCAAAGTCTCCAGGATGGCACATCAGGACGTGCCATCGCAGGACATTTAACGTGTCTCCCAAAACAATCTCATGGAGGAGATTTCAGGAGTCAGGCAGTTATTCCAGGAGAGCTGCACAGGGCTGTGGAAGATCCTGAACCCACCAGCAGGACCCATATCTGCTCCTTTGTGCAAAGAGGAACAGGCCTGTGCCCTGCAGAATAACCTCCAGACACTGGAGTGAATGTCTCTGCCCAAACAATCAGAAACAGACTTCAGACCAGAACTGGCAGGTCCGGCACTGGTGCCCTGTGCTTTTCACAGACGAGAGAAGGTTCACCCTGAGCACCTGTGATAGACGAGAAAGAGTCTGGAGAAGACAAGGAGATCGCTCTGCTGCCTGCAACATGGTTCAGCATGAGCGGTTTAGTGATGGGTCAGTGATGGTCTGGGGAGACATATCCATGGAGGGACACACAGACCTCTACCGGCTAGAAAACAGCAGTGTGACTGCCATTAGGTATCAGGATGAAATAGTAGGTCCCAGGTTTCTCCTGATGCGTGACAATGCTCGCGCCTCAAGTCTGCAGGCAGTACCTGGAGGATGAAGTGACTGATCTCAATGGTCTGGGAGGACATCGCACAAGAAACCATCCGAAACCATCCGTCGTTTCATTAGAAACATCTCACGACTTTGTCAAAAAATGCGTAAAAGCCCATGAGGGCAACATAAGAGACTGAGAAGCATTTTGATTTGCAGAAATTAAATTCTGGTAGAAGGGACTAGCCTGCCACATCATTATTTCATTTAGATTTTCAGGGTGTCTATAATATTAAGCTCTCTGTAGGCTGAAAATGTTATTTACAATAAAAGCGGTGGCATCCTTTTGTTCCTAAGACATTGCCCTGTCCATATTTGTATAGATATATAACATATTGTTTATACATTGAGATCAGATGTGTGTTCCTTTTCATTTTTTTGAGAAGTACATATTGTGATGTGTGAGCTTCTGTGTTCTAAGTTTAAGAGCTACGAACTATTAATAATATATTTAAATACAGACTTCCTCTCACAGTTTAAGAATTGGGTACATCTGCTTTCAAGAACTGCAGGAGCTAGAGAGTACAACTAAAGCGATGTATTCTGAACTAAATGTTTTGTGATTAACAGGAGCCAGAGTCCAGATGAAACCTCAGAGCCGTTCTCTTTTCTCACTCCTGTTTCTGCTGCTTCTTCCTCATCCCTCACGTCTTTATTCATTTAAGAAAATGCTCCACAGATTTGAAGGATCAAAGTCGATTTGTGTGCTCTTCAAAAGAACTTCCCAATATTCCCACTGACATACCCAAATCTGCCACAGGTATAAATTTACAAATGAATAAAATACAGAGCATCAGACGGACAGATTTAATTGGATTCTACAAACTTGAGATATTAAACCTGGACCTCAACAAGATCTCACACATTGAAGATGGAGCCTTTTCAGACTTATCAGCTTTAACACAGCTGACTTTAGCTCTCAACAATCTCAGAAACCTGAATGACAACATGTTCACGGGACTGTCCAACCTGTCAGATCTTATAATAAATGATAATCAAATAATTTCCATTTCAAAGTTTGCATTCAAGCCTTTACATAAACTGCACACTTTGTATTTGTCATTTAACTATCTGGTCAGTAGTGACATTGCTAACATACTGATGCACTGTCCATCATTAGAGATATTATATTTGGCTTATAACAACCTCACTTCATTTGAGTACTATAATTTGCCATTTCCATCATTAAAAACCTTAAATCTTGTGGGAAACAATATAACTGTGTTTGAACCTGACAAGTCCCCATTTCTCTTCATGAACCTCACAGAACTGGATTTGGACAAGAACCCTCTGAGGAGGCTGAGCGTTCACTCAGATGTGTTTCCTCATTTAAACTCACTGGGTTTGGCTTCAATGATGGAACCTGTCATTGAATGGGACGTTTCTAACAAAGACTTTTTCAGAGGTTTGTCCAAGTTGGAGTTGTTGGACACTAGTTTTGATATCCGAACTTATCAATTGCTTTTCAAACTTGTTGATTCAGTTGACAACCTTAATCTAGATAGACTTGGTAGATTAATTGACAAAGTTCTGTTGGACTTTGCTTGCAGTATCCCATCGCTACAAAAGTTGAGTTTAGGCTGGAATAACATTTCAATTCTAAATGATAGTCTTTTACAGTCCTGTGCCAATCTGACAAAACTGGACCTCGGATATAATTCAATGACCGACTTAACTGAAGCTTCACTTCAAATGTTGACACGACTAATTACCCTAAATCTGGACAGTAATCATTTCTCCAGAATACCAGTGGCCATTAGAAACATGACCACACTGAAACATCTATCCTTTGATCAAAACAAGATCACAGAACTTCAGTGTTTTGATTTTCTTAATTTAATATCTCTAAGAAAACTTTCTCTTGCAAACAATGCCATTCTTAAAATAAGCAGTTGTGTTTTTAGGAGTCTTCCAAACTTAGAAATTCTCAATGTTGCAAATAATCGACTTCTTCAATTAACTTTTGATGGGACCTTAACAAAATTGAGATCTCTACTTGTTGGTGGAAATAATATTGGATTGCTTCTCAAAGGCACATTTCATAATATGTCCTCTCTCACATATTTAAACTTTTTTAAAGATAACAGTGCAGTGACTGCACTAGAAGCTGGTGCGTTTGAAGGCCTGTACAATCTCACAGAGCTTGATCTTTCAACAAATTCATTCAGTGGAGATACATTTGCAGGTTTACCCAAACTGGAACGATTGTTTTTATCCCTCCACAACCCCGTAGCAGGTTCACGCTCATCCAGTGGCTCTTTGTATTTGCCGTCACTACAGAACTTGGAGGTCAAAGTTAATAGTAGGGCATGTTTACCTCAGCAACAAGATGTTTTAAAAGGTTTGGGCAATTTAACAACTTTCAAATCAACAAATTTTTTCTGTGAAACGCCTCATCAGAACACATTTATTTACAGTCCTCATTTAGAAGAACTTTCTATTGCAAACAGTGAGGAGTTTGATGCACTTCCAGAGCTATTTCATCCATTAAAACAGTTAAAAACTCTACATCTGACATATACCAATATCAAATCTGTGGATTTTCTGTCCAACGCAAATCTGACCAGACTGGAAGTGTTGAGCTTAACCAATAATGAGATAAAACTAGTGAATGAGACTATTTTTAAGGCACTCCCATCACTAAAACACGTCGACTTATCTGGAAATCCATTTGCATGTAACTGCTCAAACGATGGGTTTATAGACTGGGTGATCAGAAACAAACAAGTCCAAGTGGTCAATGCTTTTCAGTACAGATGCTCCTCTCCTCCGTCTGAAGAAGGAAACTTTTTGCTGGACTTCAATGTGCAGTCATGTTGGGAGTTCACTGGCTTCCTCTGCTTCATCTCCAGCTCTGCTTTGGTCCTTGTCACTCTTCTGTCCTCCTTCACCTATCACTTTCTGCGATGGCAGCTGGTCTATGGCTACTACCTCCTCCTGGCATTTCTCTACGACAGTAAAAAGAGAAGACAGGGCTGCCCTTACATCTACGACGCGTTTGTGTCCTACAACGTTCACGATGAGGACTGGGTTTACAGAGAGCTACTGCCTGAACTGGAAAGAGTCCAGGGATGGAGGCTGTGTCTGCACCACTGCGACTTCCAACCAGGTACAGCGTCTCCTCAGTCTCCCCTGATGGATTCTGTCCATGTGTTCCTCTGGAGATGTGCTAACCTCACATATTCTGCTGTGTTCAGGGAAACCCATCATGGAGAACATCACAGACGCCATCTACAGCAGCAGGAAGACTCTGTGTGTGATCAGCCGTCGATACCTGCAGAGCGAGTGGTGCTCACAGGAGATACAGATGGCCAGGTACAGACTCACTGCAGCTTGATCTGTCCTGGGCTAGACCATGGAAAAGACCAGGGACGGACCTGAACTAGATCAGAAACGGCCCTGGTTGAGTCCTGGAATAGTCCAAGTCGAATGTTGGTTTGGATCTGCTCTAGTTCTGGTCCAGTTCTCGTTGAGTCCTGGATTAGTCCCGGTTTAGTCCTTGTTTAGTACTGGTTTAATCCTGGTTTAGTCCAGGTCTAGTCCACTTCGGTTTAGTCCTGGTTCAGTCCTTGGATTCTCACGTGTCTCTTTTTTGTGCAGTTACCGTCTGTTTGATGAGCAGAAGGACGTGCTGATCCTGCTGTTTCTGGAGGAGATCTCGTCCAATCAGCTGAGTCCGTTCTACCGCATGAGGAAGCTGGTGAAGAGCCGCACATATCTGAGCTGGACCCAGGCCCGGAACCACAGGGGCCTGTTCTGGGAGAAGGTTCAGAGAGCGTTAGAGTGTGACAACGAACCTGCCGACAGCCACAACCCACTGACTGCTAATGTTTATTAGGTGGTAACAGGCTACAGTCATAGAAGTTTAATAAGATCTGGAACGAACCGACAATGACATTGTCGTGGTTTCTAAGGACAAAGCTCATGACGCCAATTTTTTTTCTTCTGTATTAATGAACTGCACGATCAGTTCTGTCCAATCAGAACGATGGCAGGTAGAGTTGAGCTAACACGTTCTTATGCTGCATTCGTTTATTCATTTGTCTCCCACTCAGATCTCGGATACGACGTCACTTCCGCGCTTCAACCATTTTATTATGTTTCGTGAAAAAAAAAGAAAAGCTGTACCAGATGCTCCAAAATAAGTCTGTGCTTCAACTACACAACCACAAGATAGAATTCAGTATAAAAAGAATAATTCAGTGTATTATTGAAGTGAAAGCGTTTGTGTTGATGGTCAATCATTTTTGCACATTAGCAGGAAATGCTAAAAACATGGGCAACACCGACCTCCAATACAGGAAAGTACTGAAGAAATACAGATGCAGTAAAGTACTGAAGTAATACAGATACAGTAAAGTACTGCAGTAATACAGATGCAGTAAAGTACTGCAGTAATATATAGATACAGTAAAGTACTGCAGTAATATAGATACAGTAAAGTACTGCAGTAATATAGATACAGTAAAGTACTGCAGTAATATATAGATACAGTAAAGTACTGCAGTAATACAGATACAGTAAAGTACTGCAGTAATATAGATACAGTAAAGTACTGCAGTAATATAGATACAGTAAAGTACTGCAGTAATATAGATATAGTAAAGTACTGCAGTAATATAGATACAGTAAAGTACTGCAGTAATACCAGTGATTAAAATTGTCATTTAAACCATCAAATCGTCCAAACACAATGAAAACAGTTCATACACGTGACACTGGGTGCAGTGTCTTGGATTCTATCTCAGAATCTTTACTCGTTCTCCTCTGAGCTCTTCCAAGTTCTGAGTTTCTCCGTCCGAGGAAAAGGGGCGTGTCAGTGCGTGTCTCTAGGCAACATCCTCGGACCTCCGAGTCGGATGATACACGAATGCACCATTAGTGTGGCTAGGCTAAATTTTTACAAAACTATGATTTAGATGCTCTGAGGATTTAAATGTAAGATGTTCAACGAGAAAAAATCTGTCCTGTGTGAAACTGTCCCTGTCAGGCTTTGATCACACACATTTAACTGCACTCACTTGGCTGTTTGTTTTTGTTTGGAGCTCATAATCCTATCTTAGTAGAAGGTTAACAGTCAGATTAACTGTGAGGCCGTACTCTCAGTTCCTCTTTGGACCACACTGAGCTGAAGAACACAGAGAAGGCCTGTGTCCTCTCTCAGACTGTCAATCAAATGTCAATCAGACTTCAATTCTCACTGTATTGTGTTATCTGTAACTCTGTATATGTATATGTATCTGTTTTTGTTGACTTTTATGTGAAGCACTTTGGTCAGCTGAAGTTGCTTTAAATGTGCTGTATAAATTAACTTGAATTGAACTGAATTGAACATTCATTTTAGAAGAGAAACGTTCATTGTGGTATGTTCTCAGATTAAAATAATATTGCCTTTTGAGATTCTAAATGACCTGAAATCAACTGTTTACAATTCTGGTTATTTCTTAACAGGCTATTTTCTAATCAATGTTATACTGCTTTTTCCTCATCAAAAACAAACACAGAGTTGTTTTTCTTTCTTTTTCTTTCATTCACACAACTCCTGTTTACTTAGGTTCTTTCAAAGGGTAAACTCTGTTTCACCTTGTGATGTCATTTATTAATACAGGTGTTTTAATCTCCATACAATGACTCATCTTCATGTAACATATAATACTCCCTACAGCTGTTCAACAACTCACCCTTGTGTAACAGATAATACTATGTCCTATCATTATTTCATCTTTGTACTGTTCCTCCTTACAACTTCCTGTATATAGCTGAGACATACAGTATTTGTATTATTTAACATTTTTACTTGTGCATAAACATTTTATAATCATAACTTACTTGACTCCAGTCTCTTGCTATTTTTGCTTCTTATTTTGAATTTATTATTACCACTTACATTTTTTCTCTTTGTTATTATAATATACTGATCAAAACGTTAAAGGAAAACACATCAGATCTCAATGTGAAAACAAAAAAAATATACAAATCTGGACAGGGCAATGTCTTAGGAACAAAAGGAAGCCTCTCTTTCAATGGAAATGAACAACAGGTGCACTAGAGGCAACAATGAGACAGGCCCTAAAACAGGACTGGTTTTGCATGTGGAGGTCATTTCAAGTTTCTCCCTCTTGGTGTTTTTTGGCTGCTTTTCCTCTAGTGCTGCTTTCAATCAGTCAATCAATCAAACTTTATTTGTATAGCACTTTTCATACATTTAAAATGTAGCACAAAGTGCTTCACATGCAACAGAAAAATTACAATACAATAATTAAAAACAACAGCAACCCCCCATCCCATCCCATTGTTTCATCCATATATACAACAATTTAAACATAAACATAACAACAAAAACATAAAGCTCCTAAAGGTTATCATAAAAATCAAAATGGAGACAAAGTAAAACAGTAATGATAATTTAATTTAAAATAAATATAATAATAGTAATAATAATAATAACAATAATAATAATAATTTAAGTTAAAACAGATAAAAGTTTCAATTAAAAGCTAAATTAAAAAGATACGTTTTGAGTTTACTTTAAAAAATATGAACACTCGCAGCGGACCTCAGATCCTCAGGTCGACTGTTCCACAAACGGGGGCCGTAAAAGCTGAATGACGCCTCACCATGAGTTTTAGTTTGGACTCTTGGGACAGTTAAAAGAAGACTACCCGAGGTTCTGAGAGTCCGAGAGGGCTCATATGATAAAAGCAGATCAGATAAATAAATAGGACTAAGACCATTAAGAGCTTTATAAACTAATAAAAGAACTTTAAAATCTATCCTGCAGCTCACAGGAGCCAGTGCAGAGACTTCAGTACTGGGGTGATGTGCTCTCGCTTCCTGGTCCTTGTCAGCAGTCGTGCTGCAGAGTTTTGGAGGAGCTGCAATGGAGCTGTAGATTTCTTTGGAAGACCAGAAAGGAGAGCATTGCAGTAATCAACATGGTTTGTGATAAAAGCATGTATTAAAGTCTCTGCACGGGCTTGAGAGAGAAATGGTCTGACTCTGGCAATATTTTTTAGATGATAAAAAACAGATTTAGTGATGGACCTGATGTGCGGCTCAAAGCTAAGCTCACTGTCAAGAATAACTCCTAAACTCTTGACCCTCTCACAGGGGTTCAGTGAGTAGGTTTGGAGCTTAGCTTTGAGCCTCTCTCTCTGAGCTTCAGGACCAATAATTAAAACCTCGGTTTTGCCCTGGTTGAGCTGGAGGAAGTTTGCTGCCATCCAGGACTTAATATCTAAAATGCAGTTAAAAAGGGTGTCGATCGGGCTCAGGTCATCAGGAGACACGGCTATATAGAGCTGGGTATCATCAGCATAGCTATGAAAGTTAACACCGTGTCTCCTGATGACCTGTCCTAGTGGCAGCATGTAAAGGTTAACAAGGGTTGGACCTAAAACTGAGCCTTGGGGAACACCGCACTCCATTTTACATTTTGCGGAGGAGTGTTCCCCAAGACTAACATAAAAATCCCTGTTTGTTAAAAAAGATTTGAACCAGTTAAAAACAGACCCAGAGAGACCGATTGCATAATGTAATCTATCTAGTAAAATACAGTGGTCTACAGTGTCAAATGCTGCCGTGAGATCCAACAGCACCAGGACTGACAGGTTCTTCTTGTCCATGTTGGATCTTATATCATCTAGGATTTTTACTAGTGCAGTCTCTGTGCTGTGGTGAACTCTAAAACCAGATTGATGAATTTCAAAGATATTGTTGGCAATCATAAAATCATGAATTTGGTTAAAAACTATTTTCTCTAAAATTTTACTTAAAAACGGCAGATTGGACACAGGTCTGTATTTACTGAGCAGGGAGGGGTCCAAGTTGTCCTTTTTAAGCAGAGGTTTGACCATGGCAGTTTTGAGTGGTGTTGGAAAAAACCCTGTCTGCAGCGAAAAAATTAAAAACTGATTTAAAAAGTGATGTAGGGATAGGATCTAAAAAACAAGTGGCTGGTTTCAATTGTAAAATTATTTTGTTAAGAGTCGTAGCATCAACCAGGGCAAAACTATCAAGTGTGTTTGATAAAATCAAAGGATTTGTAATACAGACGTTACTTGGTTGTATCTGTTGCAGGTCAGCTCTAATGGACTGTATTTTATTGCTGAAGTAAGTCACAAAATCCTCACAATTTGGCATGTTTGATGGCTCCTTCCAATTACGAACAGGGTTGGCAACAGAACTAATCGTGGAGAATAGAATCCTGGGATTTTTAATGTTATTATTTATAAGTTGGGAGAGGTATGCTTGTCTTTCGCATTTCATACCATTATTGTATTTTCTCACTTGTTCACGGTAAATTTCATAGTTTATTGTAATTTTATTCTTGCGCCATTTTCTTTCTGCTTTTCTACAATTTTGCTTCAGTTGTCTTGTTTTTTCATTTTTCCAAGGAGACTTTTTTGTCTTCACAGTTTTGAGTTTTAGAGGTGCCACAGCATCGAGGGCAGATTTTAATTTATTATTAAAATATTCTACAGTAAAATCACATGAGGATGGTAAAAAAGGAGTTGGAGTGTTGTTTAATATTTCTGTAAAGTTTGTTGTGACTTCAGCAGTAATACAGCGCTTTCTGACAATGCATTCTGATATGGGGGGTTGCTCAATAGTTATATTAAAAAATATACAGGCATGATCTGAAAAGCCCACGTCCACATCAGAGGCAATGTCTACTGATATTCCATATGAAATGACTAAATCTAATATATGGCCTCTGTTGTGGGTGGGCTGTAAATCATTTTGTTTAAAATTCATACTGTTTAAAAGGTTTAAAAAATCTATCGCTAGTGAGTCTGATTTTACATCAATGTGTAAATTAAAATCACCTACAATTATAATTCTATTGTAATTTGAGTGAGCAATGGACAGGAGGTTTGAGAAGTCTGCCGTAAAAGAAGAGGAGTGTTTAGGTGGGCGATAAATACAAATAAGGAGGATGGAAGGATTTGTTAAGGCCAGGGAGTGATGCTCAAATGAAGGGTATTGATTGAAATTAATATTTTTGAAATTATGTTTAGCAGAGAGGATTATGGCTGTGCCACCTCCTTTTTTATTGAGGTGAGAGGAATACAAATAGCTATAGTTAGGAGGTGTAGTTTCATTTAGGGTTACGGCTCCATCTGTGCATGTCTACAGTCTAGAGCCTCATCTACAATCATATCATTAATTATAAAAGATTTATTGGCCAGAGATCTAACATTTAAAAGTCCCATTTTACAAGTGGTATTTTGTTCATTGTATTAGCTTTGGCTTTGAGGCCGCTACTGTGGCTGTAGCTTTGGCTACAGAGATTATTACGACTGAGAGTATGAGGCCGTTCACTAACCTTACAGAAGCTGCACAGACTGGCTCAAAACACAATCTCATGGAGGAGATTTCAGGAGACAGGTAATTACTCCAGGAGAGCTGGACAGGGACGTGGAAGATCCTGAACCCACCAGCAGGACCCATATCTGCTCCTTTGTGCAAAGAGGAACAGGCCTGTGCCCTGCAGAATAACCTCCAGACACTGGAGTGAATGTCTCTGCCCAAACAATCAGAAACAGACTTCATGACGGTGGCTTGGGGGTGCCATGTCCTGTAGTGGGCCAGTGCACACCACCCACCACGGTGGAGCTCCACTGACATTTGCTAAACGACACCAGAATTGGCAAGTCTGGCACTGGTGCCCTGTGCTTTTCAGAGACAAGAGCAGGTTCCCCCTGAACAACTGTGATAGACGTGAAAGAGACAGAAAGAAATTTAGAGTTGCAGAAATTAAATTCTGGCTAAATGGACTAGCCTGCCACATCATTATTTCACTTTGATTTTCAGGGTGTCTATAAAATTAATCCCACTGTAGGCTGAAAATATTCTTTTATTTATGGCACCAACTTGTGCCATCTGACTCGCTGGTTACAGTGGACCCGTGTTGCATCACTGTAGGTCACCTGTACCTATAATCTGTACCTATGTACAGTGTGGTCTGTATTGTGAGCTGAGCTGGAGCAGGGTGCTCCTCTAGTTGTTATATGAGCTTAGCACTGCACAGTACATGGACTGTGCCTTTTAATACTG